CTCCTTACTATTCATATTCTCCTAATCAAAAATCGAAATTTTTATCAAAAATCTTTTGGATTTAGAATTTCCTAAAAATTTTCACGTGCTACCTCCAATTTTATTTTATTCTAATAGAAGATTGAAATTTTGACCTAAATTGTTTTTTCTGAATTTAGAATTTCTTGAAAAATTTATATATTTTTCTGTCATCTTATATTCTTCTAATAGAAAAACAATATTTTTAGTAGCTTTTTGAACAAATTTACGATTTTGTAATAAAGAAATATGTAATTGCAAATATATGTATATACTTATTTTTTTTAATCTTACAATATCGTCAGATATTTTTTAATAATTTTTCTAAGTTTAGAGGATTAAATATTATAAAATCATTAGAAGAATGCTAAAAATGTTAACAAGTGGTAAATTTGTCACAGAACGAGATGAGAACAATAATGAAGACAGGGAGCAAACGATTGTCGTAACCTATAAATAAAATTTTCTGACGATCGTGACTCGTTCAGTTTTAACCTCGTTTTGCGCTCCACCTTTTATTTGCCGGCTATCGATGGAAAAATCAATCGGCCATTTCTCAATTCGGACAAATTTACAGGATCGTGCCAGTTCCACTTCTGATTCTCGACCATTTTCCTCTTCTATTTCCTTTATTATATCGTCAAAATCGCGAGAAACCAAACAACGTGCAATCATCGAGCACGAAATCCATTTAATATAACAATGTGGAGATAATCGATGTTCCTCAACAAATAGAGTTCTTTAAAGATCTTCTTTTTTCTTATTTTTATTTTTATTTATATTATAATGTTTTCATTATTATAATTATGTTGGATCCAATTTATAATAAAAATTATTTGTTAAGTATTATAATTTATTTTTTAATCCTTTTAGTATGTATATCATTTAATGTGTGTATGAAAGGAATTATTTTAGTATGTATATCATTTAATATATGTATAAAAGAAATTAAAAATAAAAAGAAAATGAAAAAGAAATTAATTGTTAATTTCTAATTTATCTCACTCCGTCTATCTGAAGCTTCTAAAGAAATAAAAAGTTCTAAAGAAATAAGAATTTCTTTTATTCTCTTCTATTATTTTTTCTTTTTTTTCCTACTTTGTTAAAATCAAAAGTTAAACCTATCTAAATAATCATAATTTAATCTTATTTCCTACTAATAAAAATTAAACTTATTCTAATTTAATTTATTTTATCTACTTTCATCGAAATAAAATTTGTATCAATTCCTCTTCCATTCTTTATTTTTCCCTTTTCTTTTTCCATTTCAATCATTCCATTCAATCACAAGTGCAAGTAAACGGCATCTATAATCATCATTAATTCAAACTCAAAACTTAACGAGTTAAACAATAGTAAAATTATTCGATTTATCCAAGATATATTTCCTAAACGATGAAAAACTGTAATTAATCTCGTTCCATATTCACCACGTTGTAATTAATATTTCAGTCGGAGCTCGTTTAAATTTTGCGCTTGTGTTTTCATGTCTCAAAGCAAAATGGTTTTCTTTCCCAGTTTCTTTTTTTTTTTCCACCCCTTTATTTCGCAACAGGCAAAGAGATCGGATTCTCTCGTAAATAACACAACACACGTTATGATTTCGAATGAAATCATTAAGGCCTATGCCTCGTGTTGTTGCAGTTATTCTTGTTAATTCATATCACGAACACGTTAATTGCCAGCAAATTTTCTCTGTCGAGTTATTTCTATAGAGTTATAAAGCTTGGTAATGAATATACAGGAGAGGAGAGGAGAAGAGATTCTTTCATCAATCGTATCATGGAAAACAAGCTGATACGGAACACTGATTCTCATTTTGCGAGAATTTCTTCAATCGCGTAATTATCGTGACCGAATATGAATTTACAAATAATTCTAGAAAGTGAAATTAATCTATAGAATTCTGAGAAACTTTATTTATCGTTTCTGAAAATATTCTTTATTATCCATTGTAATTAATTTCAATGAGAATACTTGTTAAACTTTGTTATCTGTTTCATTCATTTATATAATGGATTAATAAAGGGTTCTTGAATTTTTTTATTTGTGTAAATTTATTGTTTAAAATGTGATACAAAAATATGTGGTAATGATGGAACTCTGTTGTTAAACGGTCTAATAAAAAATAATACTGCAGTATTATTTATTATATAACAACAGATTATATTTTTATTATAATGGAGTAAAGGATAGAAAATAAGAATGGGCAAATTTTTATATTAATTATTGAAATAATTAATTTTCAATCAATTTTTAATCTCAAATCATATATTTTCTTCATATCAAATATAAATTACAATTTTTATCATATTACAATCCACCAACTTAATTGATTTAATGTAAATGCAATTTAAATCTTGACAAATCTTAACATTTTGTTGCACAACCATATATATTTATTTTTCTTATTTTTCCAATTAAAAACCACGACATATAATCGTATTATTCAAAAGTCGCTCGTTCATCTTATTATTAATGCAATCGTTTAATTGCAATCAGCCTCGATTTGATTAGTCGCAAGTCCTTTAATTATTCAATATCGGTATTCGATCGTAGACTGTGATTCCATCATCAAAGCGTTCATTGCGATATTACAATGTGTCGTTGTTGCATGCATTGCACAATTTCTCGTGATTCATTTCGAATCTGTTCAACAAGCAAAAAAAAAAAAAGATAAAACTGGGACGACGCGGTCAAGCGGAATCTTTTTATTGGTCTCGACACTCACCATTAACTTAATAACATTTTATTGCAACGTTTTATTACTCCAATGACGCAAGAGTTTAAAATGTGGTTGAAAGTTTAATCCTTGCATATCTCTTTCTCAACGTTATCCTTTATGGCTGTATTCGATCTTTTGTATAATTTATTTTATTGTTTCTATCCTCTTATGAATATCGTCGAGTATATGTATGCGAATCGTTGATAATGTGGACCTTGGATTCTCAATCATAACACCTGAAAAAAATGACCATTAGTTAGTTTTAATTGTTATTATTTTTAAGGAAATTTTAATAAAAGGATGCCTTAGTTTATTTTAATGTGGTTATATTGTAATATTAATTGTAATATTGTTTTTTTGTTACTTTTTTATTTACTTTTTTAAAGAAAAGAAATGTTATTTAGAAAGGCTTGGGGAAATTGGATTTTAATTTGTATATTTCAGAGTATGTATTAATTATTCTATTCAATATCTTTTATCTTTCATCGATCTTTTATTTGGAATTTTCTTATTTAAAATTTTCCAATAAATAAATCTCGATTATTTTAATAAAAATTATTTATATGAAATATATTACATAATAAATTTGTAGCATTTATTTATTTCAATATGATTATTCAATACTCCACTATTGGCTACTTGTAGAGAAAAGTTCATAAGTTATTCACAAGTCTTTACAAAATAAATGATGATATTAGTAATTCTCGATCAATTTAATCCTCTTTGATCACTCGCTTTGAAAATTGATCAAACTATCCAGCTTTTGTGTCAACAAATATATAAAAGATAAGAGAAAACATAAATGAATATCCTCGATAAATTTCACTCGATACATGGAAGAAATCATATGACACAAGAATTTCACAACGCACGATTATGCAAATAAAATTCATACTTCAACTATAGTGAAATTCTTGAAATTTGAATGATCAATAACATTGAACATATAATAAAAAGAATTGTGCTCGATGCTTTTCATCTTGTATTCAATGGAATCTAGTTGAATCGAAAAGAAAAAAAGTAAAAAAATCAAAAAGACAAACAGGAAGCAGAAACCAACAACGGAAAACCAAGAAGAAATCTGTGATAACTCGAATGATTTATAGAAGAAGGGAAAATTCCAAACATGGAATAAACGAAAAAGAAATAGTAGTAAGATTTATTTTTCGCGACATCCATTTTCTTTTCTTTCTTATTTCTTTCTCCTCTTGGTTTTCAGAGAATGTCAGTCTAAGGATGAGTGCTCATTATTATTATTGTTAAACAAACTTGAAAAACAATTGTAAATAAATCTGTATGAATTGATAAAAAACGGTTTTAATAATTTTAATAAACCAGCCTTTGATTCAAACCTGCAATTGTATTTCATGTTGAATCATGTATTTGATATTGAAATCCTGTCACCAGACATTTGACCAAATTTCATCTTTTCCAAAATAATAGCTAATGCTCGAGATTAAACACATAACGACACACATATCACGCAAACTGGACACGTTTGCACATTTCAGTCGATAATGAACTCGCGTGTTAGGCAGAATTTACAGGAATGTTATGAGCAAAGCAATGGGATTCAAATGAGAATCGATACTGGCATTGTCACGTACGAATGTCAATATAATATATATTCCCTTGGCAATCTATCTTCGTTTCCATGGATGAAAAATTTTTGAAACCGTATTATGCAATCGAAGAACTGAAAAATACCACATGTAAAAAAGTTTGAAATCACTAATGCAAAATCCAATAATTTAATAATGATTCGAAAATTTGCTAGTTTAAAAAAAAAAACTTTTTATATGTGAAATCTATTCATCAACATTCGTGATATTAATTTCAAATTAATAAGAAAATTAGCAGGAAATTTACAACAATAATTACAAATTAAATTATTGGAAAAATAATTTGAATCTTTTAACAGATATGATGAGATTTTCACGTTCTATTAAATAAAACCAGCCAAGGAAGCAACGATGAAATCAAAACTTGTTAAAGTTCTCTTATTTAAAATTGACTAGAATATCTGGAACTGCTAAGAATCTTAGCAGTTATTATCTCATCAGACTTCTTCTACATTCTATCTATCTTCCAAGATTATCCGTTGTAATTCATACATAAATATTCCAAAACTTTTAAAACCAATGAAAACTTACGTGAATTTTTTAATTTTAAAAATTAATCACAATTTTTTTTTTGTTTCTTTTTTCATGTATCTCTCGATTGATCTCCTCTCTTTCAAAAATTGATTGTCAAATTGTATTGAATCGTGTAATTACAGGTACCTACGAGCCATCCAGCACGACTGTTCTCTTTCATGAACCCGCTCGCCATTCAAATCTGGCTATACGTGCTCGCCGCGTACGTCCTCGTCTCGGTGATGATGTTCGTGGTCGCGAGGATCAGCCCCTACGAATGGAACAACCCTCACCCCTGTCACGCAGGCTCCGAAATGGTCGAGAATCAATTCTCGCTGGCCAACAGCTTTTGGTTCACCATTGGCACCCTGATGCAGCAAGGTAGCGATTTGAATCCCAAGGTATGTAATCGGATCCCTCGTTATCTTATCGTCGTAAATTTTTCCCTCGTCGGGGAGAATGAACAACGATGGAGATACGAGTAATTATTAGAGGAAAATAAATGAAAGGCAACGAAATTACAAATTTTTCGAAAATATCGAAATAAATTGTCCGCTAGAAGAGATTTAAATCAAATTTGGAAATCTTAAACGAACCTTGGGAAAAAATGGGATTTTTTATTGAAAAGATAAAATAGAGAGGCAAGTTGAACACGAAATACTTACATCTAACGTTCAATTGATATTATTGAAACAGATATATATCAATGATTGCAACGAAATTAATTCAAATAAAAATTATTAAAACTCTTTCTCTCGATATGAATATTAATATATTGAAAAAACATGGGCAGGAGTAATATATATCGTAAAGTAGAAAATCTATTTTAATTCATTTTATCGGGAAACAAAAATAATCAACGTATTTGTATTGAATCGATTACTGAGAAACACAGACAACATATCTGATGCGTTCAACTGGCTTCGTCGTCTCGATCAATGCCTGTCGCGCGAAATAAAAGTCTTATCGTATCGAGTTTACCGCGAATCATGTTCGTTCGTGCCAAGAAATCTTCTCACTGGTTTCTGCAAATGATAACACAGCGGAATAAAACTTCATAATATATTAAACAAACGTGTGATGTTATTTCAATTTCATGAGAATTATTAACTTATGTCTACAACTGTGAGCTAAAACTCGTGATGCAAAAGATGAAAATCAAGAATAATAAAATTATCATGCATTAAAGATTTCGAATTTTCTTTTTTTCGAAAATTAAATTCGAAGATTTATCAAATATATTCGTTCATACGAGTAGAAAATTATGTTTTTTTTAAACAAATAATAAAATTTCCTCTTATATATAATGCATGTGATCCTGTTACTAGGGAATACAAAGACACTGGATCGTGCTTACAGTGTCTCCTAGACAAAACCGCAACGTAGCATCGTTCGTCTGCATCAAAGCTTATTGTCTCAAATTCATTATGAACCGTCGCGTTTATTTATGCCAAGAAAGGTTCCAGCTCGCGAACGCACGTTTCACGTTCCGCGAATTTTAGCAAGTAGATACGTTCAGAGATAAAAATTTTCTGAAATATCACACGTAATGTTGAAGATAACTATTTTGCATCGTTTCAAGTTTTGAAATGTCTTGCGATTTTATTTGTTTAAAAAATCATAAAAAAGTCTCATAAACAATTATATTTGTAATAAAATTGTATTATAAATATTAATTTATTAAAGTTTAATTTTGTGTTGATATTTGATTTGTAATATTGATTGTAATATTGATTGTAATAATGATTTTGTTCCTTTAGCTAGGATTAATAATTTTACAAGATTTTAAGGAAAAAAAAATATTGTTTCATGACATAAATAAATATTTCTAAAAAATTTGTTGAATTAGTAGAAGAAAAATCATTATTTAATAATTAAATAATTTTATTATTTTATTTTTAAAAATTACCATCCTCTTCTAAAAACGTCCTGGAAACGTCACTATTCTATTTGATTACGATCTTTAAACTATCCGTTCTAGCCAAGTCGAAGAAGTAACATTGTTCGATTGGCGGTGACGTGGAACGATGGCGATTGAATCGTTTCATTAAGCAGAGTGAATTAAACTAGCCTCTAGCCTTCAGTTAGCGGTCTTATAGAAATTGAATTGTACCAGAGTAATAATGGAATCTCGAGAAGAAACTTCGTTGTCTCGAGTTTATCAATGAAGTTGTGCGATACGGACGCCATTATTCGAACATAATAATATTCTACATGGAAGTGTAAAATTTTTATTGTTGAAACGTGCCAAAGTTTATTTTGGATGTTCATAAAATTCGAGACGGTATCCTAACTTCTTAGCCACGGTTTCCTGATAAAGTTTAAGAACAGAAGAGCATGAAATTTCGATGAAACAATGAAATCAATACGCTATGGTACAAGAATATTAAATTTTTGATAAATTTGTTCAGGCAACGAGCACGCGAATCGTGGGTGGCATATGGTGGTTTTTCACATTGATCATCATATCCTCGTACACAGCCAACTTGGCGGCGTTTCTTACCGTGGAAAGGATGATAACTCCTATCGAAAATGCGGAGGATCTCGCCAGTCAGACAGACATCGCGTATGGCACCCTGGATAGCGGAAGTACCATGACCTTCTTCAGGGTAATCTTTCGTTTGTTTGAAAAATAATAATAACTTTTTTTTAACCTGTAATTTAGAATAATTATTACGAATAATTATAATGTACTTGAACACGATAGGGTATCGATAAATGAAAGATAAATATATGCGCGTTATACGAATGTAAAACAAACCAATTGATTGTTAAATTTCACATTACCAACAGTTTACTTCGTACAAGAAGTACAAAAGAAGATTATGAACTTTCTATAAAATCGGATTAATTAAATCTAATGAACATGATCGATTACATAAAAATCCAACTTCAAGCGAAGAATTCAAGATATAACATTTAAATCAATTTAAAATCCTCGCCATTACTGTTAATAAGATCATTAATAAACAATCTTTTTTCAAAAATAAATATATACCATGATAATTTACCTTAAAACTCGCTTTAATCCTATTAAAATTACGAAAACTTTGAACCGCTCTAATTCCGAAGATAATGACTTCCGGTCAACGAGTGAACGATCATTAGAAGCGCGAAACTTTGCTCTTTAAAACGCTTATTCATTTATCCTGATACGACTTCCGGTTCCCGAGATATCATCGTGTAAAGAGAAGGTAATTTTTAATCATTTACCTAAAACATGATTAAACTCTATTAAAATTAACAAAACTTTGAACCGTTATAACTCTGAAGATAATGACTTTCGGTCAACGGTGTACGATCGTTAGAAGCGCGGAACCTTCCCCTTTAAAACGCTTTTTCATTTATCTCGATACGACTTCCGGTTCCCGAGATATCGTCGTGTAAAGAGAAGAATAATTTTTAATCTCCCTCCTTGTCGCTTACTCGGACCTCTCGCTCGTACCTCGTGTCGCTGACCTATCCCAAACTGCAGACAAGTGGCAGACGCGATTCCTGGAAGGACGTAGTACGCGTTTCCAGGAAAAAATGTAGGTCAGTGATCCATTCACAACTTCTGCACTGTGTCCAACGTTATGGACACTTTAAATCCTTATATCTCGGCAACCAATTGAGATATCGAGATAAATCAAAAAGGGATTTCAATGGTATGTTTTTCTCCATTTTCCGAGTGGATTTTGATCATAAAATTTTTACATTTTTCATGTGAAAATTCGAAGTCTTATTTGGAATTTTGCATGATTGGAATGGTTTAATAATTTGACGTGAACTATATACAAGCTTAAATTTATTTAATTTCGCTCTTTTGTATAGTACAAATAATAAATATGTAAAATAATCTGAAAAAATATTATTTTAATATATCGTAATATATCATATTACGTTAATATATAGAGTTATACAATTTGTTTATGCGAAGAAAAATCTAAAATCTATTGTATGTGTTCCTTACCTTATATGGAAAAAGTCGCGAGTTTTTTTTTTTTAATAATATCAAAAAAGATCCAGAAATAAATTGAGAAACACTAATTTCCCTTTGATCGTATAAAGTAATAATATTTAATTATTACGCGAACAATCTTTAGGATTCGATGATCGAGACGTACAAGAAGATGTGGCGATTCATGGAGAATAAGAAGCCATCTGTATTCGTGCCCACTTACGAGGAGGGGATCCAGAGGGTTCTTCAAGGTGATTACGCTTTCTTAATGGAATCCACCATGCTGGATTACATCGTGCAAAGGGATTGCAATCTAACGCAAATCGGTGGACTTCTGGATAGCAAAGGATACGGGATTGCCACGCCTATGGGTAAAATATATCTTCCCTTATTTCTACATTCTCTGATGTTTCAATATCAATCGCTTCTCTTGTAGGTTCTCCTTGGCGTGACAAGATATCTCTGGCGATTCTAGAACTCCAAGAGAAGGGAGAGATCCAGATGTTGTATGACAAATGGTGGAAGAGTCCTGGCGACACTTGCATGAGAACGGAGAAAGGGAAGGAGAGCAAAGCGAATTCCTTGGGGGTTGACAATATAGGTAATCCTCGAAAATATATTTTCAATGTTTCACAATTTATATTCTATATTGCTTGAATATGATTTCTGTTCAACACATCCAATCTTTTCCTTCTTTGTTTCGACCGTTTGTCGCGACCCACTTCACACGAATCGCAGTCGAACCTCATCGACCAGCGAGAAATCCAAGAAAAAGAAGTCCTGCTCGCGATCAGGGCTAATGAATTTTTACATTTGCCTAAAGTTCAATTTCTTCTGTTGCATTTTAGGCGGAGTATTCGTTGTACTACTGTGCGGACTGGCGTTCGCCGTGGTGATCGCAATTTTCGAGTTCTGCTACAATACCAGAAGGCCGCCGCCGGAACAGGTAAGTATTTCGTCGAAAAACCAGCTTCTTCTGCAGGCAAAGATTTAATCCTTAACTACTGATAACTAGATTTTAAATAATGTGAACTTATACGAAAAGAAATACGAATAAATCAAATTGCAAAAACTTGTTGTTGTTCTTGTTCTTGTCAAACTAATACGCGAAAGAGTATTAAGAAGAAAAAAAAAGAGAGAGAGAAGTGGAAATTTTTACACTCACTTACAGTGGGAACAATGCACAACGAATACATTTCGCGGAATCAGTTGTTAAGGATTAAAGGAAAAAAAAGAAAGAAAAAGACGGAAGGAAAAAAAAAGGAGGAGAAAGAACAGCGTAAACACAGGATACTTATTTACACGTGACAGTAGAATATTTTTCTAGTGGTTTGTATCGCGAATCGTATCCGCAAGGAACGGTTCGAGAACAGATCGTGGGAAAAAAGAACTTTTTTCCAGGCATTGCCGCCATCAGCTTAGGATTGCATGTATTTTTGTCACTTTTGTGTTCCATTTTGTGGCCCACCGTGGATTTTTCCGCGAAGCAGCATGAACTCATCCTTCACTGAAGCATGCCAACCAACTGCGAATGCACGAAGCTCAGTTGACAACCAAGGTCCGTTTTTTTTTCTCTCTCAAACTTCGTTGTCTCCCATAATTCGATTCTCCTCGTTTCAACTTTTTCAACGTCTGTTCGTAATTGCACGGTATCTCGCAATATATCCTATACAAACATAATGCAAAAAAAGAAACGAGCTTAAAATTTTCGATACGCTTTGATTTGACGATATTTTTTTTGGAATGAATATATTCTTTATTCTTTCATGTATACTTATTTTTTAATTTTTTGGAAGATTTTTAGAATGCAATGAAGATTCTGTTTCATACTTTGGATAATACTTCCCTTGTTTTTCCATAATTTAGCCAGGGGAAAAAATTGAAAAATTATCTACAAAATTATCTCACCGAATATTCGTTAAATAGAGTTTCCATCTGTTTTTATGATTTTACGAACGCAGAGAGCTCCAGTATCGATACCAATCTGTTCGGATTCTCTGCAAGGAATATCGCAATCCGTGCAACAACAGACGCAGCAGCAGTCGCAACAGCAACAACAGCAACCGAATCAGCAGCAGGAGTCTTTGTGCTCGGAGATGGCGCGAGAACTGTGCCGCGCGTTGCGATGCCACGCATCCTCGAGACGGCGACGCACCTGCGAGAAATGCTCGACCCATGTGCTCGGCTATCCGCCGGACAATCCCACTGCCACCCCTCTGAATGGGATGAGATCGCAGGTCGGTGATCGTAGATGATTTGAATTGTAAATAATCGAAACCAAAATCTTTAAACACAAAACGTATTCATCGTAAGAAGTAAACTTTCCAACAATAAACGTGTAATTTTTACAACAACAATGACAATTTTTCGAATAATTTTTTGAATGAACGATGATTATTGAATCATGGACGTTATCGTTTGGAGAAAATTTCGAAATGAATTTCATGCGTGATCTTGAATCATATATACTCGAATAAAATCACGATTGAATTGAATAAAAATTTTGAAATTGGATTAAAACTTTCCTAAATTGCAGAGAAGCAGCCTGGGTGTTCCCACAGTCGAACTGCCGCCACACGTCCACATGCATCATCACGCGCCACCGCCACACGACTACGATGGAACTTAACTCACGAACCTCGTCGCATCATTGCGATCATCTCTTAGGGCCTAACGAGCAACAAAAAATGAACTGGATAGAAGGGGAAAAAGTACAATAACCGAGGAATAAAATCTTTTTTTTTTTTGAACAAGAAGAAAAGAAAGAAATGTGAATAAGGATAAAAGAAAGATCAACAAGAAAGTACAAAAACGCATCAAGTGGCAGCGAACGGATCAGATCGACCAGAGATTCGTCCTTTCCATTTTTTTTTCTTTTCTAGAGAACGAAGTAGTTATCCCGCCGCGGGTATCACGTCGATAATCACCCAGAGAGAACGAACAATTTGCACAATTTCTGATACCGTGTCGTTGTTCCACGTCGGAACACGAGCGGAGGAAAATAGTTCTCGTATTATTATATATATCCACTTCCTTTTCTCACCGAAAAAAGAAAGAAAGAAAGGGGAAGAAAAACGGACTCGTTTCACTTTCTACCGTAGAAGTTGCACCGAAGACAGATTGTTCGCACATTGTTCGATAATAAAATCGCGGAGCGGAGGGATCGATTGTGGAGAATAAAGAAACGAACAGATATCTATCCGAGGGAGGATAAAAATTGAAAATAATTTTTTAAGAATTCTCGACAAGCTATCTATCCTTTTTTTTTTTTCCTTTAGTGGAAGCGCCCTATCAAGTTTGTTTCCAGACTTATTTGTCAAGGATACAGATGTGTGGAAATTTTTTAATTTGTACGCGATTTTTAATTTGTAAATCAAGTTGGAAAGATTGTGCGCGCTGTTTTTAACAAGAATGTTAACGAGAATGAGGCGAAAATATTGAATTTTTATATTTCGAAATATTAGATAGGAAATTTTAACCAAGATGGATAGCTTTTAAAGCGAGCGTTTAATTTACATGTAGTAGCTATAAAAAGTATTTATCGCATCATTATATTTATATACCAATTAAACAGATCTAAATATACATGTATATATATTCTCTTCGTTCAACATTTCATTATTGAAAAATAGAAATATGTGCGAATATTTTTTCTAGCCACTATACGTACAACATAAAACACGATTATTAAGTTTCGATCGATCCCTGAAAAATCACCCGATGTACACGCCTATTGTCAAATTTTTCTAACCACTTTGTACAAATCAGGATGATTAAGTAGAAATCGAATCGTAGGTAAATAAAACATAATCGAGTATTTTTCAATTAGAATGTTTCACCTTCGAGGAAGAGTCGAGTTCGAAAATGAGAAACTTGAGCTTTCCTTCCACTCGCGGCCAAGATAAGTTGCGCGTATCCTAGATTCCAGCCGACGATTCGATGCTTCCTATATTTTCCACGCGATAGAACGACGCGCGATCGATCGTAGAAATCGGGACGCAGGAATCACGAAAGGCAGTGAAACATCGATATCAGGCCGTTGTCTTCTTTTTGCCTTTTTTTGCGCGAACGAACCGCACCGTAACGAAAACGCAAACGAATTTCTTACATACTTAAACAACCACCAGATACACACACACACACATACATACATAGATACAGATCCGTGTAAATACCGCGGCGGTACGCGCGAAAGTAGACGATCCCATTTGCGAGTATTTTAAAAAAATAGAGGAGGCAAGGGAGTAACTGTTTAGCGTTAAAGGAAAACAAAAAAAAAAAAAGTACAACTAAGTAGACGTTTGGTGTCATTTCACGTGTGTATATGCAGATAGACGGCGAATAAATGTAAAGACAAGATGATGGACACGGAATGATCGTTTTCTTCAAACCTTTCCTCGTTTTGGGACTTTTTGACTTTTTTTTGAATGTTTCGATTTTGTTTTGTTAGACTGATATTATATAAGTAATAATAACAATATAGGTTGAAAACGATTCAATTTTACGTATTCATTTTAAAATACAATAATAAATTTATAATATAAAATTAAGAAGAAATATAATTGATATTAAGCGAGATTAATAATATTATTATTCGTGAAATCTCCTTGTATTCAACAAACATAATTACGCATAGTTTTTAAAGAGTGATTAACTATATGTGTATGTATATATATATATATATATATTTGCTCGTTAAACTTTTTTTTATTTTTTGTTATATATTGTAAAATTAATATAATCAAAGTGTTTTTTCCTTAAATGGCAATGACGAACGTGTTAGAGAGAAATTAAAATTAAAAATTTTACAAAAATTATATTTTGGACATTAAATTTAAAAGATAATTTAATTCACACAAATCTAAATTCTTCGTTCCATCCCGATGAACATTATAAGTGAATAAAAATTTGATTGATCATTTTTTTTCTTTTTTTTATATAACATCATTTATTAAGGGATAAAATAAATGACAAATAACATATCACTTATATGAAACTATAACATTTCTTAGTGTTCATCATTCGTTATGATATAAAAGAAATCACATCACATACGACCCTCCACATACTTAACACTTTCACAGCTAGTTGTCAGCTCGATTCGCACCGTCATCTGACCCCTCCCCTTCTCTTTTTCCTTCTCTTCGAAATTTTGGAAATCTTTTAACAAGATCTTTTCAATTAAAACCAATCGGTTAAATCATATTGCAATGAACAACGGAAGCTAAAGAAATCTCGAAACGTTCTTTTTGTGGCCTCGAAATAATTCCATCGTGAACCTCGAAGCGAGGAACTTGGGCGACTCACGCTACGGTCTATGATAAGATTAGGCGTCGACCGCGTCGCTTAATCGAATCAACGTGACTGTGATGTTACAGGCGGAGTCGCGTGATTGGAATTCTCTTCGAGTTTTTCTTTGGGGATTTGAGGAAGAATCTTTGTATTCGAGCGAGCGACAAAAGAAGATAAGAAGAAGAAACGAAGAAAAGAAATATATATATAAATGAAATATCGAAAATGGGAGTTGCGACAGATTCGAGCGGATTCGAGCTGACACAAGCGTGCCTACGATTTCTCTTGACACGATACAATAATAATAATATAACCGACTGAATCCATTTGGAAGGGTCTAGTCAAATCACTTGTAATTATCACACGATCATACTCGACACGGTGGCATGTAAATGTTGTTCCATTATTTTTCTTTTTTTTTTTCATTATTTTTTTTTATTTATTTATTTTTTTTTTATTTTCTTTTTATACGGTTTTCACCTTTTTCTATTGTAATATGCATGTTTATTTTATTTTATTACTTTTTTTTTTGTTGACTTTCGGAGGTGGCTCGAGCTCGCAATGCGAACACGCGATTTGATGAACGGATAGATTTTCCCGAAAAATACATGTTCTCTCTATATAAGATGTGTGTATGTGTTTGTGTGTGTGTGTGTAAATGTGTGAGCCTGTCGATCTATCGTCGAAAATTTAAAAAAAAAAAAAAAGGAAAAAAATAGAGAATGAAACGAAGTAGAATAATAATTATTATTAAAATTAATTACTTAATAATTAAGAAGAAAGCAAAGAAGCGATACGCGTACGCGTGTTATGTATACATGTGGTGTTGTATCTATCTCTTGCGTATAGAACAAATGCCTCGCTCTTACTTTTCGATCGAATACTCTCCGAGTCTTCTTTTTTTTTTCATCATTTTTCCCTTTTCCTCGTCCACCTCCACTAA